AGCTAGCTAGCTAGCTAGCTAGCTAGCTAGCTACAGTTAGCTGCAGCTAGCTGTTGCTGGGCCTGCACAGCGGGGCAAAGCAGCGAGCAGCAAGGAGAGAATCCTTGCTTGTGGGGGCCCCCCCAGCCGGGGGGCCCCCAGCCGTGAGGGGCCCCCAAGTAGGGGGCCCCCCTCAGTGTATATGGTTTGGTTTGCTGCAGCAGCAGCAGCAAACTGCTGCTGCTGCTGCACTGCAGCGGGAAACGAAGCCGCGAATTTCTGATTTTTTTACATCTTGAGAAGAGAGAGAGAGAGAAGCAAACCCTAAACCCTAAACCCTAGACACTAAACCCTAAACCCTAAACCCTAGACCGTAAACCCTAGACCCTAAACCCTAAACCCTAAGGTCTGTAGGTAGCTAGCTAGAGAGAAAATGCTGCTGTTGTGTTGCTTCTTTTTATCTGTTTTGTGAGCTGCTTGGGGTGTATAGATACTCAAACCCTAAACCCTAAACCCCAAACCCTAAACCCCAAACCCTAAACCCTAAACCCTAAACCCTAAAGCCCAGTTGAATAGGCCCCCAATACAAAGAGAGAGAGACAGAGGTTGCATCTCCTTTCCCTTAGCTGGGGTGTATGTACACCTGAAGGAGACAGCTGTCTCCGTGGGGTGTATAGGCACCTTCTCTTGCTGCTCTTGCGGTGTATGTACACCTCAACTGCAGCACATAGAGATACACAAACAGAGACACGCTGCTGCAGCAGCAGCAGCTGCAGCAGCTGCTGCTGCTGATGCTGCAGCTGCAGCAGCATCAGCTGCAGCAGCAGGATCAGCAACAGCAACAGCAGCAGCTGCTGCAGCAGCAGGATCAGCAACAGCAACAGCAGCAGCTGCTGCAGCAGCAGGATCAGCAACAGCAGCGGCAGCTGCAGCAGCAGCAGCTGCTGCAGCAGCAGCAGCAACAGCAGCAGCAGCAGCAGCAGCAGCAGCAGGAGCTGTGTTGTTATTTATTTTTTTATGTTTCGCTGTCACTCGACCCCCAGAGGGGGCCTATGGTGTGTAGTTTTTTTTGGTTTGTTTCTGCGTTTTCTTTGTCTTTGTATTTTTCTTCTTTTTCTTCTTTTTCTCTTTCTCTGTCTCTATCTATATCTTCTTGTGCTTGTTGCGGTGATGACAGCACTACATCTGCTGCTGCAGCATCTGCTGCTGCTGCTGCTGCTGCAGCAGCAGCAGCAGAACCCCAGCTTGGTGTGTCTGGGGGCCCCCAAAAGGGTACCGTGTGCTTCTGCTGATGGGGGGGGGCCCCCCAGGAGGAGTCAGTCTCCTGCTGCGGATAGAGAACTGTCTCCTGCTGCTGCTGCTGCTGCTGCTGCTGCTGCTGCTGCTGCTGCTGCTGTGTGTCTTGTTGCTGCTGCTGCTGTGTCTCCTCTTGTGGGGTTGTCTCCTGCTGCGGCAGCAGGGGGCTTTCTTGCTGCTGCTGCTGCTGCTGCTGCTGCTGCTGCTGCTGCTGCTGCAGCACACCGAGTGCTGCAGCAGCAGCTACACCAGCACGCAGCAGCAGCAAGCCCAGTAGAACAAACCCAATAATTTTTCCTGTTTTTATTGAGGCTTGAAGGATTCGTTTGTTTCTTTGCTGCTGCTGCTGCTGCTGCTGCAGCTGCTGCTGCAGCAGCTCTTGCTGCTGCAACTCCTGCAGCACAGCAGCATCAGGGCTTAGATATATTATTTTCATTGTCTCTCGCGGGTCTCTCTCTATCTCTTCTTCTTCTTCTTCTTCTTCTTCTTCTTCTGTTTCTTCTTCTGTCTCCTTTTCTTTTTCTTTTTCTTTTTTTTCTTTTTCTTTTTCTTTTTCTTTTTCTTTTTTTTCTTTTTCTTTTTCTTTTTCTTTTTCTTCTTCTGACGATGCTGGTGATGATGATGACGATAATATATCATTTGCTTCTTCTTCTTCTTTTTCAGAGTCTAACAACAAATCCTCTGGGGGCCCCCAATGGGGGGCCCCCATGTGGGGGGCCCCCGGGGGGGGGGGGCCCCGGGG